TCATTCTTCCCATTTTACAGATGAGGCATGTGTGGCTCAGAAACCTTAGACAAATTGCCCAAGGTCAGAGAGTTGGAAGGCGGTGAGGACCTACGGAGATATCTGTGTTGATATGTCCTCCAAGTGCCTGATGGCCACTGGAGGTGAATGCCTCCAGGAGGGACAGGAGGGACAGGTGTTCCCATGAGTCTTTTATCATATTTCTCCTTGGTTGTTTTTTGGAGAATAATCCTCACGTGGTTTGCCCCAGGGCATGAAGGGGGGGACTGCACTGCATTTGGGGCTGTGGGTCATGTGGTTTAGAGCCCTGAGAGCTGGAACTTAGCTATGTCTCTGCCACTCACTAGCTATCACATAGGATGAGTCAGTTCATCCCAATTTGCCTCATCTAAAAAAATAGATGGGCAACAATAGTCAATTCTACCCGATTGTGTGTGCATCAGAGGAGTAAACTGAGATAAAAGTAGTTTATCATACCAAAAGGCAGAACCAAAGAGAAGTCAAATAGCCATCAACCTTCCTCTGCATTTTTTGTATAGATGTTTGTTAAGAAAGGAAGAAGGGAACTCTGCGGGGTGCCTGAGCTTAAGATAAGGATGACTGAGAACCCAAAAAGGAAGGAAGGCTCTGGAGATGATCTCTCTGTGGGTAAGGGTAAGAGGATGGATCATTTTGGAAGAGCCCAGGGGATGGTTAATGGTCTCTGGTTAAATGGATGGTTGTAGTCATTTATTCGTTCAATAAATATTTATTATCTCCCATGTGCCGGCCACAATGCTAGACAACAGGGTGGAGTGGTTTACAGAACAGACATAACCCAGATCCTCATGAAGCTTACGGTCTACTGAAAGTCGGACCCAGAACAAATGCATACAGCATCTAAATGCATTATTTTAAACTGTGACATGTTTTCTATAGGAGAGGAAAGACAGTATTGGAGGACTCAATACCCTATCTCCCCCATTCTCCCCCCTCTAGTACCGCCCGTGCCTCCCAGACCACCCCATCTCCTGACACCCACCAACTGCTTTTCAAAGGATCATAGGCCTCTGCCTATACAGGTTTATATTCTCTTGATTCAGTGCGTATCTTAGTTCGCTCAGGCTGCTATTATAACAAAATCCCCAAAGCGAGGTGACTTATAAACAACAAACCTTTAGTTTTCACATCTCTAGAGGCTGGCAAGTCCAAGATCACAGGGCTGGCAGATTCATGAGGGGATCCGCTTCCTCGCTGATGGCAGTCTCTCTGCACTGTAACCTTGAGTGGCAGAAGGGGCAAGTCTGTCTTTTATGAGGACACTAATCCCATTCATGAGGGTTCCACCCCCCATGACCTCCCAAAGGTCTCACCACTGAATATGGTCACCTCGGGGGTTAGAATTTCAACGGGAGAGCCTGTTAGGGGTGGGGGGGGGGGTGGACACAAACATCAGCCCAGGGACAATGAACAATCTTTTGAATGCCCAAGAAAAACCTGTACACGTATCTCCAAGGGTTCGGCTGCTTTCACAGCCCGACTTGACCGCAGCCCTCTTTGATGGGCTTCCAGCATATTATTAGTCCTACTTTACAACTACAAACAATGTTCACGACAGTACAATGACTTGTCTAAGATGACACGGCCAGTAAGGCCACACTAGAGCTCAGGATTCATGCTCTAAGAGAGGGTGACATAAAGGGATCCAGAGCGTATAGAAAAGGCTGAGAGCATGCCTGACTCAGAAGGAGGTCAGACCTCCAGGACAGTGAAGTTCTAACCCTTAGGAAGCTAGAACGGAGACAGCAGCCATTCTTGGAAGACCCACGTCCAGTCCAGTTTGGGCGGCCAGAGAGGCCCTTTAGGCCCAGAAGCAGGATTTTCAGAGCTCTAAAGGGAGCCCTACTCAAGTCTGGGATGGGGAGCAAGGGGCTTGCCTGTTACTCCAGTCTCTGTAAGGGCAGGGCCCCAGTCACCCCCATAAAGGCGCACGCCAGAGGACCAGGGCTTCGGGTGGCCTGGCTGAGTTGCTCCCACACAACCGCCACGCAATACTCCCCGGGAACGGGGTTCCAGGCTTTGGGACCTGAGCTGGTCTGGGGGTCGGTCGGCCCGCCCCATGGCCGCTTCCGAGGCCGGCCGGGCCCGGCCGTGCAGTCCCCCGATGCGGACAGTAGGTGGCAGTGGGTCGTGAGAAATCTCGGTCGTCGCCGGGCAGGGCGCGGAGACCCAACCCGGAGAAAAACGCGGCTGGGCTTGGGCCGCGGCGCCGAGAGAAACGCGCCCCGGGGTGGGGCGTGGGGGGCCGCCCCGGGCCGTCGGCTTCGGCCGAACCGAGTCTGCGAGGACCTGGGAGGTAGCGCGGGACTGGGACCTGAAAGGGCTCCCCGGGACTCCTGGCCCCCGTAGGCTGCGCGGTCCTGGGGCGCCCTGGGGACCCTGGCCCCCTGGGGAGGGCCCTGCCCACTGGCTCCTTACCCAGAACGAGTGCCTGGCGTGGGAATTTACTTCCTGAGCGAATAGCTTTGTTGTTTTGTTTTTTAAGTGAAGGAGAAACAGCCGTTCAGAGAGGTTAAGGGGTCTGGCTGTGGCCACAGCGCGCGACCGTGGCCGGGCAGGATTCGAACCCTGCTCCGCGTGCCCGGAGCCCGCGCTTCCACCCGCTGAGCAGCACCCGCGGGGCCTCCGGCGCGAGGAGCGCCCGCTGTCCTGCGGGCGGCCTCCGTGGCCTTTCCGGTGACGGGCTCTGCTCAGCGGTGCTGTGGCCCCGGGCTGGTGTGCCTCGGTTCTGGGGCACTGTCCCCGGAGGGGAGTGGCTGCGATGGCCTCTCCTGCGCTGCCAAGCCCAGCGGCAGGGGCCCGTCTCCCGCGAGGGGGCCTGGCCCGAGCCGCCCCCGAGGCAGACTGGCTCTCCCAAGCGCTTTTACTCTTGGGAATTCGTTACAGCTTTACTACCCCTCCGGGAGGCAGGCAAAGAGGGGCTTGCATTTACAAAAGAGAAAACTCGGGCTTCCGGAAGAGGTGATCCGCCAAAGGGTGCAAAGCTAGGGCATGGCTGAGCCTGGTCTGGACCCCCAGTCCTCCCAGTTGTCCCCCCACCCGCCTACCCCCAGTCAAGGCAGGGCAGGGGGTGCGGGTCTCCCGCAGGGGAGGCCACTTCTGGCCTCTTCCACTCCCGCGGCAGGCAGGCGGGGAGCAGCGGACAAATTAATTCACGCTATCTTTACATTATGTATAATGCTGCATGATTTTATTTTGCTTCATTCCCGAAATCTTTTACAGTAATTAGTAGCCGAGTAAAATATAAAAATCAATGCAATATAACACTTTAATGGTAATAATACACCATCCTGTCTAATTAATAAAATCTGTTGTTTCCAAGCTCGATTATTTATTTGACAAATTGATAGCACACATCCTGTTCATACCCTCTTCCCCGGCGCACATCCTTTCAATTTATTGAATAAAATTGTAGCAGGAAAATAAACAGATTGTCTTCTGACCTGACAAGCAAGTGAGAAATAAACCCCTCACTCATACATCCCTAATTGTTCTCAACAATATTCCCGAACACATGTCCAGATTGGTTAGAGATGAATCTCAGCGTTTTCCTCCTTTAAAAAAAAAAAAAAAAGCTTCTCCTTACTTCACGAAAAAGAGTCGGAGCTTCCCTTTCCTCTGGGCAGTGTTTGCATTGGGGCAGTTTGGGGAACTGAATTTTGTGGCTGTGCTCAGAGACTCCGAGGACAAGGAACGGGGCAATTTTTCTGGTTCTGGGGAGAGGAGGTCTCTGATGACTCAAGCTGCCCCTGGAACACTGAACCCCTGTCAGAGGCGGCAGAGAGGGTCAGCAAGGGAGCAGGGAGGAGGCAGATGGAAGGGTTGTCATCAGGAGCTGGGAAAACAGACCCCAGAAAAGGGTTAGGGCAGGATCCTCAGGCCCGGCGATGCTTGTGGGTAGGGGCAGGGGCAAGGAACAATGTCCAGGGTTTTCCTAGGTGAAACGTGGGATGAGACACTGATCTAATTACAAACTCAAATGTGTGTTATTTTATGTAACATGGGGACATTTCATATGCTAAGTGTGAAAATATGAGAGCATTTTAAGCTATAAATAGGGCCTTAGAGATAGAGGCAGAGATATCAACACAGAGACAGAGACACAGACAGAAAGCCACAGAGAAAGAGCAAGACAGAAAGAGAGAAAAAAAAAGAGGGAGACTCACCATCTGCAGGTTATTTTGTAGCGTTTTTCTCTGAAAGAAAAATTGTGATGTGATCTGTGTTTGGGGAAAAGCTGTGCTATCCTCAGCTTTCAAGCTACATTTACTGGAATAAAAAAAAAAAGGAAAAAAATCTCCAAGTGCACACAGGTGAAGGAAGTCACCCTCTCATGGAAACAGGACTCAAAACACACACAGAGATGTCCACACCTAAACATACACACGCATACACACACAGACTCCTTTCTGATGAAAAGTTCTATGACCCCATGTGCACCAGGCCCATCATGCGGGTACACACACACACACACACACACACACTGCAGATATGCAACGACAGACATGCCACAAAGGCACACACACCCTGCTGAGCCCGGGCCATTGCATCCAGGCACGCATGCCACATTGCTGAGACTTTCTGAGCTGCCACGGTAGCTACCATATTCCCTTGAAGTTTCAATACTCTGATCTTATTAAACCTCCCCAGGTTGTCTCATCTGATCCATCCACCTCCCACTCCTGCCACCATTTTGTGCTAATGTCTTATTTTAATAATAATAATAATACTTAAGATAAAATTTTCCCAAGAGCATTTCCTACTCTCTCCAGAAGCCCATCAAGTAGGTGGTCACTTCAAGCTTTTTGCCAACACACAAATATAAAGAAAAGTGATCAAGTGCAGTTGGGGGTGCCTGGGTGGCTCAGCGGCTGACTTCGGTTCAGGTCATGATCTCACGGTTCATGGGTGTGAGCCCCACATAAGACTTTGTGCTGACAGTGAGGAATCTGCTTGGAATACTCTGTCTCCCTCTCTCTTTGTCCTTTCCATTTTCTCTCTCTCCCTCCCTCAATCTCTCTCTCTCTCTTTCTCTCTCAAAATGAAGAAATAAGCATTATAAAACATAAGGGCAGTTGGGCTACTTTATCTTGTATAAAGCATTCCCTATGAATTGTTTTAGGACAGGGGTTCTACCCCCATTTTATGGATGAAGAAACAGGTAGTTTCTTTCCAAGAGAAAACAGTTGGGGTATTCATCGAAAACTAATTTTTACTGAACACTTTCCATGGGTCAGAGACTATCTAAATGCTTTATAGGCAGTATTTCATTTAATCCTCACAATAACTCTGAGAGGGGTCCAGTTATTACATCCAGTATGATATTCAGAAGGCTTGGGTAATGTGCCCCAAATTATACAGCTAATATACGACAGGGCTTGGATTTGAACGATCGTCTGTCTGGACTGGTAATCCCTCAAAGCTGTGTTCCAGTCCCAGCACTGAGAGTCACTGGCTGAGTGACTTTGAGCAAGTAACATATCTGAGACTCAGTTTCCTCAACTATAAAATGATGAAAATTCTCTCACCTTGTGGGATTGATATAAAGGTTAAAGGGGACATGATTATAAAATAATGTGCCTCGTAGAGTGGCAGGCACGCATTAGGAGTTTAATAAAGACCATTTTTCCTTCAATTTCCCCTTTTGTTCTTCTTATGTGAGCCACTCCACCAGAAATTGCTAGAAAGAGAACTCAGTAGGCTGGGGCTGCGCCTAGTATAGCTCGGGGTTCCAAGCCTTGGTTTTACCATTTGCAAAATAAGGAAAGAACAGCTTTTTGTGAAGACAAAATGGGTTAAAGCATAAGAGGGCATGACAGTGCCTGGTATACAGTTGGTGCTAAATAAATATTTGTAAAAGGAAAGAAGGGAGGGAAGAAAGAACCTGGCAAATGGTGCCCAAGTGCTCAAAAAGAAACTGTGCCCCAGCAGCTGTCAGGGCCTGGGACAGGTCCCACACTGGCTCCACCAAGCAGTGGGCAGGAATGTTCCAGCGGGTGGTGGATGTCCTGTGGACCTGCTCCGTGCCATCGATCAATATGTTTTATGATGGGTCTAATTAAGCTCTCTAACGAGAGATCACGAGATGACAATTTATCCCAGAGCCATCACTCATTAAAATGCTATTTCAGGAGATGACATCGTTCCAGCCTTAATTGGAGGAGTTCGCGTGACTGGAATCCCTTGGGAGCCGAGATGTCCCTTGTCACTCCTCACCTCTGTGGTGAGGGGCTCAGACGGGGCCTGAGAGGCACACGAATTCCTCAAGTGTTGCAACAGCCCGGGGACCCTCTCCTTTATTAAGGTTGTCCCCTGCAGCAGGTGAGACACCGGCCGGTCACCAACTGGGGGCAGGCAGCCTGTGGCTGTGCAGAGGCTCACATCCAGAATCCAAAGCTGGGAACTCTCTCATCAGCTCCACCAACGTCTAGTCACATAGGCTGGGGAAGGGACTGTCCTCGTTCAAGCCTCGGTTTCCTCATCTGTAGAGAAGCCATGATGATGCCTTCCCTGCCCATTTCACTGAGTTGTTCAGAAGATTAAAGGAGGTTGTGGAGAGGCTTACAGAACAGAGGAGTGGGAAGAGCACAGACGTTGAGTGGAAGTCTGTAGGTCCAAATCTCTGTTCTATGACTCACTAGCTGTGTGACTCTAGACAAGTTACATAGCATCTCTGAGACCTGATGTCTTTGTGTGGCAAAATGAATCAGTAATAGTACCGACTTCAACAGGTTGCTGGGAGGATTTTGAGGATTTTATATTCAGCTTGGTTTCTCAATATCCTGGGGCCACAGAGATGAGGAGGCACAGCTGTTTTCTGAGGGATCCTGTCATACCTTAGTGTCCACAGAATAATACACCAAGGAGAAATGAGAAATCTGAAGTGGACTTGATTCAGCCATGCAATCCTAGAAGACACAAGGGAGGAGGTGATATTTTAGCTAGACTGGAAATAGGAGATCATCTTCAGTTGAAGAATAAAGGAAAGAGCATCCTGGGATAAAGGAGCAGGCAGCATAAGCAAAGGGACTGGGGTTGGAGAAAGTTGGTGTGTTCAGAATACAGTGAGCAGAGGGAAGTAGTTTGTGGGTGAATAAAGGGCATGGCATAATCAGAAAGGGAAAGAAAGCCAGAAGGGCAAGCAGAGAGCAGGTTTTAAGGTCCCCGAATGCCATGCAAAGCATTTGGATTTTATTACGAGGGTCACTGAAATCTCACAAAAGATGAGTCTGATAAAATACCATTATAGAACATGGACCTCAGAGGGGAAAAGCAGATTCAAGTGCTTCCGCCAACAAAGGTGGCTTGGAGCCTGGAGACTATACAGCGTGAACCTCATCTGTCCACCAAGACCAGGAAGCCCAGAGCCCCTGTGTGCTAAATGCCATGGTCGTCCGGGGAGCACATCAGGAAACGAAAACTGTGATGGTGACTTGAACTTGAAACTGCTGTTCTCCCAGAGAAGGAGAGGGAAACTGTACTCACTGAGCTGCTCTCATGCTTCCGGGATGTGGCATTTAATTCTGCTTGCACTCTCAATGAGGGGTCACTGTCCCCATTTACCAAACAATGCATTTAAGTCCCAGAAACGGACAGCTAATACGAGCATTCACATTCGATGCTTAGTCAGCTGGTCCCAAGGCAGTGCCACCACCACTGCACGCTCTCTCACAAAAAGTTGTCACATCTCGGACCTCCAACCTTCACTGATTTGAGGTATGGGCAACTTATCTCTATTTTTCAGAGGAGGATCCCGAGACACAGAGAATTCTCCAAGAAGCATCTTGCCCATGGACACCTTCTGTCAGATAAGTTTCTGATAAAAAACAGAGCTGCAGCTCTTAACTGATAGCTATGGTGCTGAGGAACGTGTTTTCCTGGAACTCTGGGACAGAATTGATGGCCTGAGTCCAATCCTCCTTTCCAGAAGCCATTTGCCTTTGCTCATTCCTGCCTTCAAGGGCATATGTGGCCACTCCTGGCTCTTTGATGTTTGAAGGGGTAGAGACAGGGAATGGACACCTCTTCCTATGACATAATAAAATCATTCCCTTAACCAAAAAGGTGGGGAGGGGTCCACCATTTCCAATTAGAGTGCTTTTCAGGAAAAAAAAATGGGGAAAAACACAGTTAAAAATATTTGAAGAAAGAACGCACCCCGAAATGTGAAATTGTTCAGAAAGTATTTGTAATAGGATTCAAAGCGTTCATGACAGCCACTACTTACACTGTTTAAAAAGTTGCAATTAGTACCAAAAGGCTTGGATGAAGAAAACATCATATCATAGGCATATTTATAAAACAACTTCCATCAGCCAAAGGAAAAATGGACAGAACTCTATTACAAGCTTTTTATATTTGAAGAGCAATTTCTAATAATACATCGAGAAGCCATTTCTGAAATTGACTTAGTGTGCATGATCTGGGATTAATGTTTCCCGCAAAATCACATGCTCGTTTGAACGTAAACATTTTGCACTTCCGTTCCACCTCCTGGTTCAGAAGAATGCACCTCCAATGTGTAAAATGATCTATCAAAATTAATTGTGAATGCCCTAATCCAATCAAGTCCACCTCATTAGGCAAACATTTAAATTATTAAGTTAAATAGTGGGGTATTTCAATATAATCTTGTTACGCTATTTTTATGGCAATACAAATGCTGTCTACAGATGGGCTCAGCTTCTCGGCATCGTTCTTATTGTTAATGCACTTACCCTCTCCATTTCCGGCTTTCATCCAAATGTGTGACATTGGTCCACAACCGCTCACTCTCTCGCTGCTTCGTAATTACTGAGGGAACACCTACTATGGGCTAATATTTGAAAGCTGGAGAAGACCTTCAGGGTTATCTAGTCACCTCTTTTTGCAGATGTAGGAGCCAAAGTTCTGAGAGGCTGGGTGATTCTTCCTGGATCACACACGGCAAATTTGTGGCAGAGATGCAAGGAGAACGCTGAGTTCCTGACTGCATCCACCCTTCTGCTCTCTTCTTTTCACTCTCCTGAATTGGTTTCTCGGTCTCCTTTCTTCTTTGACTTGGATAAAAATATAGAAGTAAAATAGATCAGGGGGTGCTTGGGTGGCTCAGTCAGTTGAGCGTCTGACTCTTGATTTCAGCGCAGGTCATGTTCTCAAGGTCTGTGGAATCCAGCCCCTCATCAGGCTCCTCGCTGACAGTGCAGAGCATTATTGGGATTCTGTCTCTCGCTCTTCCTCTGCCCCTGCCCACCCCCCTCCCCCATCTCTCAAAATAAATAAATAAACTTAAAAAAAAAAAAAAGAAAGTAGATCAGGTCCATGCTGGACCTATTTTAATAATTAGTATTTTGCAAAATGACTTTTTTAAACCTCCCCATATAATACAAGACATATTCCCAACCTGGTTGTTCTTCCTGGAGCTTTAAATAACTTGTCCTTTCCAAATTCGTCCAGTCAGCAAACAGCTATTCGTCATTCGATATTTCCTTGAAGGCCAGCTCAACAAAGACATGTTTGGAAGGAATTATATCTGGGTGTCTCAGACGCCAGCCCTTAAATTAGTCTCTGGGTATGTGTATGCTGTGGAGAGGAAGAAAAAAGAAGGAACAAATAGGAACTAAAGCAGCCATCAAGACCGGCTGGATGCCCATGTTGGGATCCTTTTGGGAGCCAGAGGACATGATTCTGTCCTTGCCAGAGCTCCCAGCCCATGTGCCTCTTGGGCGTTGTGTCCATGGTGTCTAAAGATTCAGATTTCACCTCAACCCAGAAGGCAGGTCTAAAGGACCATTAGACTCTACCTTACTCTTGGCCATAAAGTGCAATGAAAAAATTTCCCAGGGCACCCCTTTTAGTGTTTGGCTCAAATGTGGACGTGCTTCTCTCTTCCTTAAACCTGGGGCATGACTGAAACCGGGCTAGAACTATCAGTCATTCCCAAGGAGAACTAAACACAGCACCATGAATCTGGATATCCATCGTGCACCTTTTAGCTGGTTCTCTGATTCAGGCTGCTGGGCCTTATTATAACTTCCATAAGCCCTGGGCACTTTTGCCTTCAAGGGTTCCTTCCTCCATTAAAAATTTTTTTTAAAAATTAAAAACAGGGGTGCCTGGGTGGCGCAGTCGGTTGGGCGTCCGACTTCAGCCAGGTCACGATCTCGCGGTCCGTGAGTTCGAGCCCCGCGTCGGGCTCTGGGCTGATGGCTCAGAGCCTGGAGCCTGTTTCCAATTCTGTGTCTCCCTCTCTCTCTGCCCCTCCCCCGTTCATGCTCTGTCTCTCTCTGTCCCAAAAATAAATAAACGTTGAAAAAAAAAATTAAAAAATAAATAAATAAATAAAAATTAAAAACAAAATTATATTTATGAGTTTACTGACATAAAGAATATTAATATAATAATAATATATTAATATAATAGAATAAAACATTTTCTTCTACCCAAAAGTTCATTTTTTTTTTATGATTTTAAAAGAATTTAAAATGTTTTCATGAGTCCCTAAAGGTATTGTGGGTCCTGGGAACTGAGCCTACTATGGCTAATAGATATATTGGCCCTGCCTGCCAGGCCGAGGGACGTCAGCTCAGGGAGAAGAGAGCCACCCATTCTGCCTCCGTTTGGTGAATGGGCCCCAACTATCAACCCAAACGCTCTGAAAATATCTAGCTTCTTTGGATCTGGACAAGAAGGAAGAGTTTTACCTCCTGTCCTCTTATTTCCCATTTCCTGTCCGGGGACAGATTAAAAATTGTTGGGGTGTAAGAAAATGCCCTTAATACCAATCAAACTCAGGCTCTCCAAGTTTATCATTGAAAGGGGGGATGGCCTTTGCTCCTTGTCCTCTTGGTTTGATTCATTCTGCCCCCCATCTTACCGAGCCACGTTCTTCACATACTAAAACATGGCTCAGTTAGGGTTCGAACTGTCAGAAAGACCTTCCCAAGGGGAAAGTAAACACATAGCATACTGTAAATTGGTGATATGAAAGGGCCCACAGGAACAGAAGATGTCAGTAGCTAAGACTCAGCCGAAGGACCTGATTGGTTTGTTTAAAAGGCTGTGGAAATTGGAAACTTACACAGTAGTGGTGGGAATATAAGCTGTGGCACAACCACTTTAGAAAACTGTTTGGCAGTATCTACTAAAGTTGAACATAACGTCTTATGACCCAACATTTCTACTCAAAAGTAGCAGATTGAACCACATGAAGTTGCCAACTTTTTATTGTTTTTGACCTACAAAAATGGCAACTTGATTTGATTCAACCTAATGTGTAACAGAAATGCATACACTTGCTCATCAAAGGTCATGTATAAGGATGGTCTGCTCATAATAATCAGATACTGGACACCGTGCAAAAGCCCACCGACCATAGAATGGACAAGTAAGCTCTGGTTTGTTCATATAATAGAAAAGGGCATGCAAGGAAAGTACAACTATACCCAACACATTGCTGATTGAAAGAAGCCAAACACAAAAAGGTACGTATTGTATGATTCCATTTTTATAAAATTCAAGCACAAACCCTATTCATCCACAGTGTGAGAAGTCAGAAAGGAGTTACCCTAGTCAAAGGGGACTACGTATTGACTCAAAAGGCACATGAGGGGCTCTTTCTTGATCTGGGCACCGGTTTCATGGGTGAGTGTATATTTTGAGAAAATTCATCCGGGTACAACTTATGAGTTGCATATTTTTCTGTATGTGTGTTTTCCTTTCTTAAAAAGTTTAGCAAAAAAGAAAAAAAGAAAAAGAAAACGGAAAAAGAAAAAGAAAAAGAAAAAGAAAAAGAAAAAGAAAAAGAAAAA